CACACCTGACCAGCGGCTCCTCTACCATATCGTCAGTGGTGATCTACAACGTTGCCTTTGTTGAACTATGCGATACCTTAGACGCTCGAACTTCCGCTCGCAGCAGAGTCGTGAACGAACGCAAGGGACGCCATGGCCGCGTCGCCCGACCGCACTTCATATGGCAATGATTCTCCTACGTTTGGCACAAAGGTCGTCGATGCAGTTCGACGTATATGAATGAATACGCGGCATGCCAACACTGAATGCATGGATCGCTGAAACCTGTACTACCGGATTAGCAAGCTGTTTGGAGTCTGCCGTTACAAACCCTAAAACATGCTTCGTACTCACGCAGTCATATCCTAGATCCAACGAAACTGAGCATTGAAGCAAAACACCACAATTCAAACCTACCGCTTGTGAGTCTCCGTGTAACATAATGATATTGATAGTCGAAGCGGCTTCGAGGATATACACACACGATCACCTAAGACCGATTGCAGCTGCGGAAAGCCACACACCGAAAAGGCCAACAAAATATATAACGCCTGCGGTGCCAGATTTAATTCACGGCCGTAAGATTGGCATCGATTCTTACCGTCTCGAATGAACAAATCGAACAGCGATGACGGGTTTATCAGCTGAGAACCACGCAGTCGAGCTTTGGACACCCAATTCCCAGGCTCAGATAGACGCAATTGAGGGAGAGAAACACTCACAGTGCCTGAGGCATTTGACTAGAGTCAGCGTTAAGACGACTATAATTCCATGGATACATGACGTGGTCTCGATACCATCCAGTTACGAACCTGCCTCAAAACCCATCAAACCAGTGAAGGCGATGAATATCGGTCCATTAGACCCCGAGCGGTAACATCTAGTCAGGTGGGGTGCAATATCCTGAGCAGGAGCGGCTAACAATGAGGTTGATTAATAACCATGAAATTGTCGAGTAATAAGATACTTGCACGCCAAAGGCTGTCCGATCGCTGTGGCACCCACGACGACACATGCCACCACAAGAACAAGCAAGACGATGGTGATAAGCCGTGTCCTTCCCCATAAAGACCATACCCGTATTGCCATTATTACTTATGGAGCGAGTTAGCCCAAGCCTTCCAGGTAATTGTGGTAGTAGCTGACCTTCCGCCATGCAAATACCGACCATAAACGAGTCTTAGGCAACGGGATCGGTACCAGAGAATGAGGACCTGTAAACGAGTCACGCACATCCCATGGCCTTGTCAAATATCATGCATTGTTGATGTGTCAACCCCGGCGTGATAACATCTGAGAGAAGTCAAGTATGTGAGTTCAGCGCTCGTGATATATCATACTATAGCTCACGGTAAAAGCTCAACGAAAGATCGATGAACGCCGGGTATCGGGTCGACAAATACAACACAGTGCCCATCCCTTTTGGCCTCCTCCAGACAAAGGTGACCTCGTCGCCGAGGGTAGTGAAATAGTCGTAAATCTAATAGGATAAAGGAATTAGTCGATTTGATTCCAGGAAGGAGGAATCGTTGCCATACAAATAACGCGACAGCTGATGCTACCGGGGTATTAGCGACAGACAATCTTTATTGGTGGATGAGTCTCACCTTCGAGGTACTGTTCTCTTAAGGTGGTTAGCCAGACTCTCGGCATTGAGAATCTGATGCGCACCTGCTGTTCCCGACGCTGAAAAAGCCCTCGCAGCGTGACTTCATCCATGTAGATTCTGGCTATCTGGAGGGTGAGGTTGTTATCCCACCTGGGCCTCGCCCCACAGATACTCGCTATCTTATATATTGTCCCGTCAAGCTCTGGAGTCCACTGTGACAGCTTAACCTGTGTTGGTATCACTTAAACTCGACTAGATCATCCCATCCCGTCGTAGATTTATATGGATCGCCAGGTCTTGACAAATATAGTTCAGCGCCACCGATGAAAAGCGTACCGAAATACGGAGTTTCCAGTAAATCCTGATGGTCTCAAGGTTTGGTTTTTAGTTTCTATACATTGGGTGCGCATGCTACTTGGGGCAATGTACGTTCATGGGCGGGGATTTGAGTTATATCAGTAAGCGGTCATGTCGTCGCAAAATGCAATACAATGAATTACACCACCTTCTCTTCATCTGCTCCTCCTTCGCCACGAGTATACCTACTTGTATCGATGGTGCCAGAGCACGCAGTCTGAGAACGAGCAAATGCGAGCGATCTGAGCTCTACTTCGTCCAAGTGGTTTTCATGATGAGACAGCGTCATGCTGCTAGGCACGAATGTTGTATATGTTGATCGACGTAAGTGGATAAATATACGGGACGCTAGCACGGAGTGTAGGCATCGTTGGATGCTGCAGAAGTCCAAGATGAGTGTCAGATTATGGAGCATCATCGTAGCGGGACTACAGGTGCTTACGCGATCGCGTCCTGTGATGTATTGTAAGTACGGTGTAGCCATAAGAAAAAGAAGAAATCACTAGTTGTGAGTTGCCCATTAACATAACAACATTGATGAACGAGATAGCTATGCGGCATCCGTAGACGATAAGAACATAGAGTTCGAGGGATGAGGCAAAGTGGCACGACGCACCGAAGAGACCAACGAAATATATAACTCCTAGACGCCACCATCAGCATATTTCCGTGTGGCAGACCAGACGGTACTTACCATCTCGAATGAAAAGATCGATGAGTGACGTCGGATTGATGAGATGGGAACCTCGTAACTGCGCTTTATAATGGGGTATTTGGGTAGGCAGTGGTCGCGATAAGAGACTGCTTACAATGTCTAATACATTTGACGAGGGTCAATGTCAGGGTGACTGAAATCGAGGTGTGTCAACAGGTTGGGGATCCGAACAGTTGATGTCACTTACTTGCCTCGAACCCCATCAGTATAGCATAGTCTACAGACATTGCGCCATTCGACCCCAAAGGATAACATCCCGATATGTTGGGTGCTATATCGCGCATCGAAACGACTGCCAGCAAAACGACTGGTGAGTCGGGGGACAGTTTGTTCAGGAGAAGCACTTACATGTCAATGACTCTCTAGAAACCCCGAGGACCGTCACACCTGCTATCAAGGTGGCCACCGTCAATATACTCAAGAATATTGTCATGAAGCGTGTTCTCCCCCATAACGACCATACGCGCATGATCATGATTACTGTCAATTGTGGTCAGACGTGCGCCGGCCAATATACTCTCACCGACTGACTTTCGGCTACGGCGATCCCAACCAAGAACATCCCTGTAGAGCAGACGGTCAGACACAAGGGGGCGGGAAGTAGTTGTACCGCAGACTAACACCCCATAACATGGTCGAGGGCTACGCATTGTTGAACCGGTAGTCCAAGAGTAATCCGGACTAGTACAAGGTCGAGGGCGTCAATAAGGAGAACCAGGATCGAAAGATACTCACCATACAAGCTCAGCACTAGATCGACAAACGCAGGATAGCGGGCCAGAAAATACAGGAAGGTTCCAATGCTTTTCGGCTCTGCCCAAATGAAAGTGACTTCGTCCCCGAATGTTATGAGATAGTCATAAACCTAGGGGGAAAGTTAATCGAAGAGCACCAAGTTGAAATGATGGTCTTACAAATAGTGCGAGCGGGGAGACTACCGAGACTCAAATTCATTATAAGCTAAATTGGTTCTTGATACGATGCTTACCCCGGAGGAACTAAGTTTTTTGGAACGATCAGAGACTTTTGCCTACATATCCCAGGAATTTGAGCGTACCTCTTCTTGCCGGAGCTGGGAAAGGCCTTGGAGGGTCGGCCTCTCCATGTAGATGTGGGGATAAGTAGCAAGCGCAGTCCAGCCTTACTCGCTATCTTATACGAAAGAGAAGCCATTAAACTTCCGCCGCACGGGACACTGATGCTCCCTACGTTAGATTATTCGAGCTTAAATAGGAAACACCATTACCAATGCAGAAGGTAGCATGCGGTAACGGCCATCGGTTGAACATCGAACGTTCAACACTGATACGTTGATCGCCGGAGATTAGGAGCCGGGAAGGCCTGGATGGTATGAAGTGAGATTTAGCCTGTTGACTTGCTGGTGCGAGGGCTCAATTCGGGATAGCGCGCTTCGAGACCGGGCAGTCTTCTTTCGCCGAATTTTGAGTTGGGCCTGGTACCTGCGTTCTGATCAAGGATGCAGGTCAGAAAATACATACATTGGACGTACTCTCAGCAGCTACTAGCCCTGAAGTCGATGTTTACAACAAAAGAGAGCATACTAATGCTTGCGCCCCCGAGATTCGAGCAACGTAGACGAAACGAAAATCAATATATACCCTTCACCAAATAGCTTCCTGATCAGCTATGCGCCGCGGCAAAAGACTGTAGGGCCAGCCCCGTCGACGGGCAACTTTATAATCCAATCTACGACCTCATCGGCATTTGATGATACCAGTGGGTGGCATAGTGCGGAACGTGAAGTAGAGCGGTATGCCGGTATGGGAGACCACCTGCAAATATCTAAAGATGGACAACATAGATCAAGATAATTGACTCACGCGGCGCCTCTGCACACATACAGTCACATACCGACTTGATATCATCCACGTCTCTTATGCAGGTCGCTTTTATGAGCCCAAATGCCGCATATAGCCATGTGTGATACTTCTCGAGTGGCGAAGTTAATGTTGGTTCGGGCCAGTAGGCAGCCAAACAGTCCACTGGTGGATCGATCCTATTGCATTCTTTATACTTATCTTGTCGATTCATAGATGCCTCGGTTATCTGCAGGTTAGTGCACAACGACCGTGGCGAACTCTGATCAATATCGCAACAGCAGCCAGGAATGATTCCCATGTCCAGGAATCTGAGCACAGTTCAGCACAGTAGTCCAGAGAGTACACCAATGGTCGAGTATTTTGTCGAGTTGGAGAGAGAAGAATTCTGATTCTACGTGGTGGTCGATGGAAGAGAGGCGGGACGTGACGGAGTGTGACATATCGCGTCTGCTCCGACAGTGAGAGCGCCCGTATGTGCACAAGGCGCACCAGACTTCAAGGCAAGATGGCCGAGCGGTCTATGGCGTGTGACTCAAGCGATTAGCTTGCCTGCACCAGCAGGTTTCTCATCATCGAAAGATGGCGGGGGTTCGAATCCCCCTCTTGTCAGAGTTTTTGCTCGTTTGAGCAACGAAATAGCATAAACAGTATACACATCAGGAAAACCCTCCTCGGTAGAATATGGGACAATTGCCTGTAATTTCCTACATTATAAGCAATTGCAAGAGAATTCCGGCGATCTCAGATTTTGAGCAATTGTGGAAAAGTTACGGGGCCCCCCGCGCCACCAACCAGGTAATTCTTGTGTAATTCTGACATATTTCTACGGAAAGTACTTGTATTTGGCAAGAAAGTACCCGGGATTATCACTGGGTTCTTCGTTAGGATTGCTTTCCTAGTTGTCATAGATCATTGAAAGTATTCAGCATCATATTGATCTACTATATATATTTGAAGCATATAGTATGTATATACAAGACACAAATACATATCATATATCATATATCATATAGGCTATACTCAACAACTCGAAGTATCCGAGTCACGGCCGCATGGCTAAATAACACTTGAATAAGAATAGGAACCTATTGAATGAGAAAACTTACTATAAACCGAGGAAATGTTTGGGGAACGGCCCTAGGTTACTATGATTGAACTAAAATGCTCGCAAACCTATGAAGGCACTCACCCATGTAGCCACTGGTGCTCTAGGACACTCAATATGAAGCCACACAACCAGGCAATGCCGTACCAGTCACGGAGTTGGGTCACCAGAAGGGAGAATCAGGAGTTGGGGGGCTTTGGAGGCTGGCCCGAGGTATGCTGTTTATATAGGCAAGCCGGGCGCAGTCGGGTTGTGGTCGCCAGGCGGTCGAGACGGTGAGTGGACATCGTTGTGCCGCTTCTGGACTCGCCGAGGGAGCGTCACAACGATTGGCGCTTATGTGACGGTCATTCTAGCCTTCATCCACGCAATATCTCAGTCGACCCCGCCAACTCGGACTCACTCGGGTGCATGCAGATCAACTCCAACCATGACAGCAACTCAGGCTTAAGACGGGATATACCAGAAGTCGAGAGAGATGAGGTTGTGCTGTCATCTGTGGACAGGGAAGAGGAGGCTGAATTTGTCTACCAGATCTACTGGATGATGGGCATGTGGTGAGCATCTCCTGCTCAAACAAGGATCCTACCCCGACGCTTAGGCTTGGAACTACCCCAGTGCGCACCCGGCATACCCACAACTCCTATGATTCGGCAAATTGACATCAGATACGCTTGCAGCTCATAAAACGGCGGCTTCTTCTCCAACATCTCGCCTTTATGACGTTCAAAGTGTCCAAATAACATTTCCGATGATTACATATAAAATTACCTTATTGAACTTTTGTACTGACACTGGGCGAACATAATGGTTGAGTTCCCCGAACATATGAAACCTCTAAAACATGTTCATCAAGCTTTCCGAACATTCTGTTAAGTTGCCCGAACATTTGGTTAAGTTGCCCGAACATTTCATTATGTTATCCGAACATTTCTTTCAAGTGCCCGAACATTTCTTCGATTGCCGAACATTTCTTCAATTGCCCGAACATTTACTCAAGTTGACCGAACATTTACATGAGTTGACCGAAGCTCAAGTTAAGTTGCCTTGACATTTCAATATGTCATATCATACAATCTTCTTTATCTTCTTTATTTATTCTACATATCACTTATCTGGTGTATTGGATGCTTTGAGGGCTTCTGACCGTGGGAAGGCTTTGATCTGACTGTGGGAAAGCTTTATTCTGACCGTGGGAGTAAGGAGTACTATCCATGGTCACACATGAAATCCGAGCGGGAAATTGATCATGCCCCTATATGAGCCCCTTTGTGTTCATCTGCAAAGTACGAGGATTGTCATTAGCCTCTACACAGAATACATATGATGTTCTATAGGTCTTCAATCAGTCTAGTTGCCCTCTCCACAGCATGATTCAAGATACGATCCCATTCGGTAAATAGAAGCCTTCGGAGGAGGGCAGCTTTGCAGTTGGGTGACATTCCAGGGATCTTTGCTTCGGTGACAATTGTTCGTATTTCGTGCAGGTCAAGAGGGTCGTCAGGATAGATAATCTTCCGAGCAATATACCTCCACCACCATGGTAGCCATGCTGCTGTGCACTCTGAGTGATTGTCACACCCCCCTTCATCTTCCCATCGTTCGTCGTCAGAAAAGTCGAGATTGACTGGTTGATAAGCCACACTGAGTCGGTAAGTTTGCCAGGCTTCTTTGGCACGAGCTATGATGGAGTACAATCCTATGCCAATCTCATTGGCTTCTTCGCTTGTCAGATCTTGCAGTGTTCGGTGCTCGAGAAGGTATTGAATGGCAGGTTTGAGCCATGCAGTCACTGTATACTGCCTCGCAAGTCGCAGGGATCGGGAAGAGGGGAGATATAGGTTTCCCAATGCCTCAATTGCATCGTCAGCAGCCCGAGGCATATCGAATAGGCGACTTGTTGCAAGCAGCATAGTGTACTTCTTCTCACACAATGCCCGATCAGATTTCAGCTTGGACTTATCCCACAGACTGTATCAAACAGAGCGATTAGGCCTTCACGAGTGATGTTATTTAGCGAGGCACATACTGGAATATCCATTCAAGCATATTCTCGAGTTGCTCCCATGGGACAGGCATAACAATGGGATTATCAGCCCCTCCCTCTGGATTAGGGTCGTTTGTTTGAGGAAGGGTGAACATGTTCGTCAGAACAGTTGAGTGTTTCGCCAGAAGCATAACATGAACTGGTGTTTTGCTATTTTCATTATCGTTTCCCTATAGTGATGTCCATGAGAACGATCTTGAAAGCAGATAAAAAGTAAAGCTCAATACCCTACACCAAACAACCGACTTTTCCATGTTGATAACATTTAGATCAGCGACAGGACCAGAAGAACTATGATCCTGGTCGGTGGAAAGACTCATGCTGGTGGTAAGTGATGCAAGATTCTGCCATAGACAAGTTGATTAGCACGAGAACACAAAGGAAGTGCAACGACAGACCTCAGTCATTTGTGAATGGCTTCTTGGGTAGTGGATATCAGTGGTAAATTTGTAGCTGTATTTATTGGTGGTGTAAACTAGGCATCAGAACATGGTGATCGTACGAAGTAAGTCTGACAGAGCTCCTGTGGTCCTTAGTGATCTGACTAGGAGAATAGCGAGTATGTTTAGAGCATGGTGATCGTACGAAGTAAGTATGACAGAGCTCCTAAAGTCCTTAGTGATTTGACTAGGAGAATAGCGAGTATGTTTCGAGCATGGTAATCGTACGAATTAAGTATGACAGAGCTCCTGAAGTACTTAGTGATTTGACTAGGAGAATAACGAGTATGCTTCGGTCGGGCCTAATCAATTCTGGAGCTAAAGTGGACGATATGAAGTCTGCTGTGCTTATTTAGTGTACTCATAGCATCTATTCAATCGGCCAGAACCAGAAAAACAGGACGATAGCAGCCCAGGGAGCCTGCCATACCTATCTAATGCCATTCCAGTTGTTAAACTGTTGAACTAGTTTAGAGTACTTATAATATATTTAATCAGCTATGTTCAAGAGTCTGGTATCGCTCATCAACCGATCAAGAGTCTTTTAACCTGCCTACATCACAAGTATGTCTGTTCAGCTGCCTATTTTACAAGTTCTCATCTCCAAATCTACAGAAAACATCATGTCGTTGCCACCTCTCCCCCCCCACCCTACTCAGGCCTCCTGGTCCCCAGGAGTGTATGATGCTTTCAATCGCATTGAGTTCATATACCTTGCTGCTCACAAACTGCTTGGTCAAGAGGCTGAAGCTAATCGTCTACGATTTCACTCAGAGAGGCTAATAGAAGATGGTGTTCCAATTTTGCTTGCTATGGAAGAACATGCAATGCAGGAGGGTATTCCTTTGGAATGGCTACATTCGATCACCTCGTCGGTTGGGTTTCTGATCGCCCAACTCGACAGAGCTCATACTACAGCAGTCAACCAGTTTAGTCTTTCATTTCTATCACGAAACTCCATGCTAACAATACTATATAGTGAGGACACCAATGTTGTGGTACCACAGCCAGTATCCATTGTTGCCAGTGGTGCACGTGGACGCCCACGGAAGGTTATTGATCCCAACTTCTTGCACAATGCTCTGGAAGGTGGTCGCAAAATATCTATCGCAAAACTCGCCCGTCTCCTGAATGTTAGCCGACAAACACTCTATACTCATCTTAAAGAACACAACATCCACCATGAGTTCAACAAGCTTACCAATGACGAGCTTGACACCATTGTACAGAAGTTCCGCGAGGTTCGACCAACATCTGGCCTACGTTACCTACAAGGATTTCTATCCCAGCAAGGACTCCGCATTCAAAAAACCCGCATTTCAGAGGCACTCCAACGGGCTAGTGGTTTAGGGCAGAAAGTAAAGCAACAGACAGTGATCAAGCGCCGTGTCTACGAAGTTTCCCGACCAAATGCCCTCTGGCATATTGATGGCCATCACAAACTCATCCATTGGGGAATTGTCATCTTCGGTGTGGTAGATGGCTATAGCCGTATGGTGAAGTACCAGAACTTGTAAACTGCTTTATCGAACTAACACCTACACTTAGATTACAGGCTTGCGTGCCAGTGATAACAATCGTGCTGATACTGCCCTTAGTGTATTCCTGGAAGCAGTTGAAAATAATGGACAGCCTTCACGTGTACGTGGAGACCGTGGACGGGAGAATAAGGGCATTGCTGTTTATATGATTCTTACCAAGGGTGCAAACCGTGGCTCATTTATCTGGGGACCGTATGTTGACATCATTACCTCTGCTCATGCTTACTAATTAAGTGGTTTTAGTTCAACCCGCAATACACGTGTAGAGCGTTTGTGGGTAGAAATAGGTACCCAATTCGGACAACAATGGCGTGCATTTTTCCAGCGGCTAGAAGACCAGCATCAGCTCGACCGTCATAATCCCCACCATTTATGGCTCATCCATGTTCTATTCTTGGACGATATCAACACAGATTGCCAGTCATTTCAAGCAACATGGAATGCACATCCAATAGGGGGGAGAGGACATGACAATT